GGAAAAAAATCACGAGAACTAGCCCGATCAGAATAATCCGCTATAAGTACAAAGATACAAAATTTTCTCACAAATAGGAGAGTAGGGTGACACTTTCACACTAGACACAACACTTGCTCATATATGATGTATAAAAAACTTCAGAAGTCCGGAAAGAATCATTAAATTCTAAATATGTTATGATTGTATTTCACATACATTGTTAGCGAGTAAGGGTCACCAATAGCGGTGAGCTAGGGAGATCGATGACAATATTTCACATACACGATAACTAGCCCAATTCCCTTATTGAAGGGGGCCGAGAACTAGATCAAGAGAAGGCTAGTCAAATTCCGGAGTTGTTCTAAACTGAAGACCTAATGAACGCTTCCTTCCTCTGTAGCCACCAACCACCGTCAATCACTACCCCCTGGCCTCTGTCGACCACCTTCAACTGCCTCTGCTTGTCGCCCTCGGTGAACCTTATGGAGTAATGATGTACGTAGCTATGAAGCATCTTATGGAATAACAATAAGTGTTACAGAGCAACAAGCGCCATGCATAGTAACAACTTACATGGATGAGTAAAGAAGCACCCTACAAGGTGATGTTGTGCGACGAAGCACCCTGGAAGTCGTGTGCTAAAGTTCCGACTAAAATCTCCAGCAACAATTGCTCTCGATCGTTGCATAATGAACCATTCTGTGTGCTAACATTGTATGACTCGGAGAAACTTTGCAACCCTTTCACGGTTGCGGGTCAATGATTCATATTTGTACTCGCAAACTTATAGTAGATCATTCTGATTTGCTATACCATGTACGTTTTTTTCATTTCTGGGTTTCTTCACGCAAAAATTTTCAATATCTTTTGTATTTTTTTTTTCACCTGTTTATTTGTGTTGAATTTTGTACCACATCGACACATTAATTTATCACTCAACCACAATAGAATTTATGTCACACAGGAGTAATACAACCCTCTATTTTAAAAACAACATCTCCCTCTCCCTCTCTCCTTCCCCACGCTTTATTCCTCGGATATAATTCGAAGACAAATCAAAATTCAACGCCAGTTTAATTAAATTATTCGAAAGTAAGCTCTTCGCTAACTTTCCATATTAGGTTGCACCATCTCTGCTCCACCAAAATTAATTTTGCATGATAAAATAAGAAAATTTATAATTCTAATAAAAAATAATTTGATATAAAATTTTCTCACACTCATTTCACCATGCATAGAGATGCCATTGACTCGGACATCAATATGACCTACGAAGGCACGAGCATAAATTGATAAATGTATAAGAAGCAAGGAAAATCAAGACTTGAGCATCATTTCTTATTTTTAAGCTTGATAAATGCTTTGAGTTTTCTGTGATAGTCTGCATGCAATAAATTACTATTAATTTGTTTAGGGGTGATTCTCCGCTTAAGGTAACCTGACTGCTAAATGGCTGTTTTGTAAGAAAAAAATTCAGCTTTATAATGCACATTAAATGCGGCAGTTCAATAAGAATTTTGATGGACAACGTGTGATACGCACCGGTTAGATTTTAAAATTATTAGGAAGATTTACCGTCATACTGCTCAATTCCTATGTATTTACATATTTAATTAGGGCTGTCAAAAAAAGCTCGTTATTCACAAATAGTTTGTCTTCGGTTCATTAATGAGTTCGTATTCGATTCGTTCGATAAATAAACGAGACCAACGTGAATAATTTTTTTCATTCGGGTTAGTTAAACGAACCAAACACGAACGAATATATAAAAATTTATGATATTTCAAAAAATTAAAATTTATAAATTATAATATATAATAAATAAATAATAATAATATATTAATATACTATATTAATAATATACTAATATAGATATTATATATTTATATAATATAAATTATATAATTAATATAATATATTATTTATATATATTAATGTTAGAGATGTCGAACAGTCTCGGTGTTCGAGAATAGCTCGTGTTCGACTCGTTTGTTAAGAAACGAACGTGAACAGTGACTTCACGAACAATTTCAAAAACGAGCTTATTTCAAACAAACTAAATTTCAAACGAATCGGACACGAACACAAGCTCTGTTCGTTCGTGTTCGGTTCGTTTACACCACTATATCTAACGCCTATAACTCAATTTTTAAAAACCTTCTCTTACCCGTGCATGAAAAGAAAAGGTATAGTTCACTTTTTAGAAGATAAAATGATATTTTTGATTTGGTGCAAGAGATTTGGGTGTTATAAGTATAAAAGGAAAATTTTAGGTGTTAGATATGTAAATACAAACGAATAAGATGGTATGGATATAAATTATCAAATTATAAAGAATATAATTATGAAATAGAACGTTTACTATGTCATTTACAATTTTTCTTAAGCTTTTCAATACACAATATATACATTGCTGTCTTAGATTCTGTGTGCGGCTTTTATTGATTAATATCCAATGAAACATTATAAATAGAATATATATTCCTATGTATTTATAAAAATTGATATTCCTATATATTTAAAAAGGAAATCGATATTTCACATAAGCCCAAATATTAATTTTTATGCGTTTTTCGGCCCTATGACGAGACCCGCGCCATGTACATAAAATTCCAGATCTACTGCTCCTCCACAATGAGATCATACTCTTGAATGGTGACCCCGCCACAAAAAGGCCAAGGCTTGGTTCTTGAAATATTACCTACTCTTTGACATCGATCACTTGTTTTGATATATATATATATATATATCTTCAATATTAATAATTGACTACAAAATAAATATATTGCTTCTTACATCAAGTTCATCTTGTCAAGATACGTAGCTAGACTATAAATTTGTTGAAATAAGGTTTCATATGATCTTACGCTATTTTATTAGAAAAAAAGACAATAATCAAAGAGACAAATATCAAGAGGGATTCAAGTATTATCATTAATTTGAATTTTCCCCTTACTTATATTATTTTAATGGAATAAATGAGAATAAAAACAATCATTATGAAGCCATATAAGTACAATTTCTTTGTGAAAAAAAAGGAAAAAAGAATATATATATTATTATACACTCAAAATACACTAAAAAATTGCCTGCACAGAACTCAAAACAGCTTGATCGATCAAAGGAAGAGCTATATGTTCGGCTCGAGAATTCACCACTAACCAAGTGGTCGAGGACTATCTTGGCCCATCAATAGCGGACAATGACGTAGAACGAAAAATATGATGGCCTATAATTCTTCTACCAATTACTAGCTGAAGCTCGACCTCTCAGTCAGCCGAATATTTAAAAACTGACCGACCATCTATGGTTGGTCATTTTCTCATGTAATCGGCCAGTCATTTTAGACCTACTACTAGAAATTAACGGACTGTTTATCTAGACCCGACTAAATGTCACGTCCACACCTGAACTGCTACCAACAACACACGCACTCGAAATATAAACAAAATGATCTATCGACGACATCTCAACCTACCAAAGAACAAATCTGCCAGGTGGAAATCCATAAACATTAAGTGATGCTAAAAACGATCACCAAATATGAAAAGTCTGAAATGTCCCACAACCCCCTCAAGAAAGCAAGGGAACAAATGAAATATATATTTTAGTGGCCCTTTATCTTCTATAAATAAAATGTCTAACATTTTTAAATGGTCTTTTTTTTCGCTCTTAAAGATAGATCCATTCTTCAAAGGAAGCTCCTCCCTCTTTCCCATCTCTGTAACATCTCTCTTTCATATATCAAACAGATCATAGAGCTCCAGTTCGCCTCAATGGGGCAAGTCTGTATGTGATCTCTCTATCTCTCCTCTCTGGTTCCACCACTCCGATCTTTGAGTATAACCCACATGACATATTTGAATTCAAGAATCACAAATGAGTAAAATTATTAGCACATTTTTATAAAATATCTCTCTCCTCTCTGGTCCCATCACTCCGATCTTTGAGTATAACCCACATGACATATTTGAATTCAAGAATCACAAATGAGTAAAATTATTAGCACACTTTTATAAAATATATCTATCTCTCCTCTCTGGTCCCACCACCCCGATCTTTGAGTATAACCGACATGACATATTTGAATTCAAGAATCACAAATGAGTAAAATTATTAGCACGTTTTTATAAAATATATCATTTGTAGGTGTTAGGTATGACTCATATATCATATAAGGGACAGGTGTTGGAGCGGAACGGAGCGAGCCAGCAGGGCGGAGCAGAAGCATCTGTTCAAACGAGGAGTTGCTCTCGCGGTATGGTACATGAGTAATTTTGTTATTACATATTTTACACTAGGGTTATATATGCGTCGTATTTGTAACCCCAAGGAGAAACCGTCATTCTGCTCCTGAGGACCTAGAAAAACTAATGAACCCCATTAAATCTTAGTGTTTTCTTATTGATTTTGATGATTCTTACAATTTCTTTTGCCCTAGATCATCAATAGTAGGCCTATTTAGGAAAAATTATTATGTCCTGACTTCGGACGTAGAGGTATGTCCGGAGTCCAATGAATCACCTCCATGTGGAGCTGATAGAAAAAAAAACTTGTTTTTTGTGATCTGACCCGGTAACATAGGGGAATATTCCTGCGTGTTATTCTGCATTATTCAGGTGTCATTGTGGTGATATTGATGTGTTATTGTGTTATTATAATACCGAGAATACTCTCCAAACACAATAATATATGAATATCACCACAATAACACATGAATAACACAAAATAACACGGGAAAAAAATTCCATTATGTTAAAACAATTATTATTATTTTTTCTGTCACTTTCACATGATATGATTTTATTGGATTCCGGACGTATCTCTACATCCTGAGTTTATTTGCGCAAACTCAATAGGCTCAAGCAAACCACATCGTTTATCGTTTCCACTAACCCGTTTCCCGTTTTCCATTTTCCCTCTGCCCCGTGAAATTAACGCGGGAAATTCAAAAATCCAAAGACATGAAAAGTTTTTTTAAAAAGAAGAAGCATTTCCCGAGCTAGAATCTGCGTTCGCCATGAACGTCGATGAATTTTCTCAGCAGTGTCCTCGCGCCACTCAGGTTAAGCAGGTCCTTCCATCTTCCTTTGAACGAAGAGAAAGTAATATTATTGCCCTCTTGCTGATAATAATTCTTCTCCGCTTGTTGTAGATTGATGAAGACGGTTCTTTGCCATCCTCCTTCCCTTCCCGTTCGTTCTTAATGCTTGAATCTCTTCGTTAGCTCCTCCTTTTTTGATTTATTTGATAAATTATGGAACTGAATGATCATCTCTGTTTGTTTCAGAACCTCCTGATATCAGGAACTGGTTCTCCAGCTACGAGTACGAATCTCCAGATTGTTCGGATGCTTCTTATGTGCTCGAAGTTGCGAGCAAAGAGCTTCTCTTAAATGATTTAGCAGAAGTGGATCGGATTCCTAATAAGGTAAACTTATAATTATTATTATTTTTTTATTCTGGACTTCTAATTGTAATTTCATGCCTCTTTAGATTCACATTTATTATTTATGTAGTAGGGTGTTAGGCTGCAGCCTGAATTTAAGTATTAAATCATGTGAATTCGATAGGCTGTGTGATAAAGATGAACTCTCGAGCGACAGGTGAAATTTCTTAAATCTGTCTGTTTTACTAAATCCAGATTTAACACTGGAAGAAAAGTTGGAACTAAAAAATTTTGATTTAGCAGAATGTTGGATTTTATTTTTGATGTTTTGGCTGTATTTAGGTAAAATTGATGGCTAAATTCTATTTAAATTATGCTACCAAACACAGTTTTAGTTTTATTTTAATTTTTATTTATTTGGTAAAAACATATATGGATCCAACTTGAGCAAATGATTGGTTAATCCCAGGAAGAAAAGCTGACTGAAAATGAAAATCCGTCATCCTCCGAAGAAAGTTCACAGAATGTGAACTCCCTGGAATTAAACTGCTGGAGTCCTGAAGGAATAAGGCACTTGCCATGGGATAAAGAGTATGCCTTGAAAGGTAACAATAAAGAGAGAACAAATGGCACAGACGATATATGGCCAAGTAAAATGCGTCCAACGCAGAAAATTGAAAACTTCATGAACATCAATAAGGAGAACCATGGAAGTTTGAACAATACAAGCAATCATAATGTAGTTTTGCAATACCGAGAAGCATTTTCTAAGCCCGATGACTGTCAGTTGAAGGGCAAGCAGAACTCGCAACAACTTGGAAGAAGTATCAATGAAGAACAAAAAGAAGTGATGGCAGAAAATGGTTTTATTTCAACAAAGAACAGAGATGTCGCAGATAAGCAGGGAGAAAATTCAAAAGCTCATTGTTTGATTGTCAATGGGAAGAGAAGTAGATTTGAACTACAAGAAGACGACGTCGTTTCACAAAAAGAGCGTCCCTTTTCTGTGAGAGGAGTCTTAACAGAGAAAACTAATGTTTGTTTTGCCGAGGAAGCGATCAAAGCTGAAGCTATTGGGAAATGGCAGTTTCCTCGCAAGAGCAAACCATATGCTGGGCCTCCATTGAAGCAGCTTAGACTAGAGCGCTGGGTGCGTCGAGCAGGGTAGCGCCTTCTTATCACAGAATTTGGTGCGTCACAAACTTATACCTTCTTATATATTTTGTGGAATTCAAAAGTCTTTTTTTGTTGTTGTTTTGTTTATGGGAGGATTGAATTGAAGGAAATGAAAGTTTGGTTATTTATGCTGATGGTAAAATTCTTTCAACTTGAAATTTAAATTTTTAGGCTTTTATTACTTATATAATACTTCACAAACTTCAATAACTTTTCTTTTATAGAAGAATCTTAATATTTACTGTCACTTTATGTTACTCCTAATTTTATAAATATGATGGAGTTTATTCAATCCAGTAGTACACAGAACAGTCAACTGTTCTTTAGCTTTCCTCTCTAGTAAATTCTTGTATTAAATTTATGTAGTACTATTATGTAATACATATATATATATATATATATATATGTATATATATATATATATATAAATATATATTAAAAGAATGACTGAAGGCTATTATTCGAGCTCCTAGCCACCCTCATGTGGCTAACTATTCAAGGACCGTCATCACTATCAACAAACTGACCAGAGCGAGATTTGAAACCATGACCTGAGGGGACTTACGACCTTCAAAAAGTCTGCTCTACGAATAGGCTATGGCTGACGGCAAATACTATATTTATATATATCAAAAGTATGCAGAGATGAATTTTAACTCTCAAAAATATAGCACACAATTCTTATGTATTGACATATCTAACGCCTAAACTCTAATTATACATTTACAACACTCAAATATTTAATATCACATTAAAAGCACCACTTTACAAACTTTTTAGAAGTGAAATGTACATTTTTATGCATAGGTTTACAGAACTAAAGTGTTATAAATGTAAATATCAAACTCTATTTGTTGGATATGCAAATCCATAAGAATTCTGTGGTAGGTATGCAAATTTCTCAAATATAATATACATAATTTCCTACTCTAATGTAGTGTTTCTTCCTCTCTCTTGGAGTATGAGAACTTGTGGATAGGAGTATCTTCCTCTACCCATTCTCCTAAAAAAGTTCAAGCAGAGAACTTTGGTGAGACTTGAAGGAGAAGTGGTACCAGCCTTCAAATCCTTTTGTTCGTGCACAGAGCTCAGTGAAACAGGAAAATGTCAACCCTGCATCGGTGAGCTCCTAAATGCCTCCCTTTCTTGCCACTTAAAACCCTCTAGGTTTCTTTGTAGAGATCTATTCTCTGTTTGTGTCAGAGGAAACCCATAGGTTATGAAGCTTTCCTTATGTCAATGTTGTTCCTTAAGTTTCTCATAGTCTTTTCTCTTTTCAAATAGGATTTTGGAGTCATGGCCTTGTTGTGATGAAGTTAAAATCTTATCACTTGCTTGATTGCTTCACCATATTGATGGGATGTGTAGAGCTAATACTTAGGAAATGAAAATCTAGATTTTGACTCCTCAAATCATGAGGGTTCTATTTGAGGGAACTCTCTATGATTTGCTCAAGCAAGTAATAGTGGGCATGTCACCATTATATATGTGAATATTTAGTACACCTAAGGAAATGATAGCCGACATGTCACCATTATATAGGGTGACATGTTTGGTACACCTTATCATCTTGGACCTAACACTTGTGAAATTTTGCAATCAAGTAAGGGTCTGTTTGAGATCACTTTCTATTTTCTATTTTTGTTTTTGTTTTTGTCAGTTTTTTTTGTTTTGGTTTTTTTTTAAATTTTTAGAAAAAAACTTTTGGTATTGTTATGATTTATATATTTTTAAAAATAAAAATAAATATAAAACATGTTTGATTGTGTATTTTTATTTTTATAAAGAAACTATTAAACCTTTAAAAAAAGGGTTGGGTAGTTGCATGTTGGAGGAAAATAGGGACGGTCGGGGCGATGAATAGGCGACTGCGGTTGATAGACGCAGGCAGTTGTGCCGGCCGACACCCGGTGGCAAGTTGTTGCGGGAGACCGGTGATGGCAATAGGCTGCAGGCCACGCCTGAATGCCTTCGGTGGGCGGCGACGGTGGATGGGGGCCGACAGCGGGTGGAATACGACAATGGGCAGACACATTGGGTAGGTACCGACAACTGGCAGGCTGCAGCGACAGGCTAGACAAAGGGTTGTTTTGGTGTTTAAAAAATAGGCCAAAACAAGTTTTTTTAGTTTTTAGCATTTTAAAAATAGAAATAAAATAAGACAAACAAACATTGTTTTTATGTTTGTTTCCCTTTTTTTTTCAAAGGCAATAAAAAAAAAAAAAATCAAACAGCCCCTAATTCAAGGTTAATGCGTGTGTGCGCTCGCATTTTTGCATAATTAATAGTTTAAGCTATTGTACTAAGTTATATGTACTATGTGTTTGTGAGTTCATTTCACTTTGTGCATATCATATTAGGTTTTAGTATTTCTATCCCTTTGTGGTCATCTTCACTTAAGATGGTTATAAGTGTGTTTTATTTCATCTTGTCTAAGCATGTTGTTTGTGCAGCATGTGCAGAAATTGCTATGCATGCTAATTGAACACTTCATTGGAAGCTCGTACTTTCTTAGTTTCTTGCATTTACATTTTTTCTACTCTTGCATCAAAAAGATTTGATATCTTGAAGCTTCAATGTTTCATGACATCATACAATAATATTGTCATTCGCTTTCATATTAATGTCTTACTTCATAACATAATATCAATCGTAATTTCTATTATATTTGGTCTGCATAGTGTTGCTTTTTAATGCTTAATGTATTATTTTACATAAGAGAATACATTAAGTCAATCATAATCTTTAATTGGAACTTCAAGTATATGGTAGAGTCTTTACATTTGCATCATATCTTCTCCTTGTCATATATTTAGGTGCACATAGCATGTTATTTGTATATAGATTAGAGAAGATAACACCTTGTTGGCAAATTCCCTTAGATAAGAGATCCAATCATTCGATGTAATGATTTAATGAACTATGTTCAAGTGCAAATCTACAATAAAAATTATTGTATTACAAGCATACTTATATGACTGTGCTAAGTGACTAAATAATTTAAAATGTCACTTTGATTAATTTGATCACATATAAGATTAATTTTTTTGGAATAAAATTATTTTCTTACATAATTGTGCTTGTAATTGTGTTTAAATAAAATATATTTTTAAATTAAAATCATTTAAAACCAAGAAAAAATATTTTCTTTGAGATGAATTGCTATCTATATTTATATTTAAAAAATAATTTTTTATTAAAAAATTAACTATATCAAAGTCATAAATCACTTGGATCCTTGGAATGTGATTGAATTTAGTGTCACACTCTGGCTAAATCACCTTTCCTCCCACCCCATTTTGGTTCAATCGTGGTGCAACAAAGGTAGATGACTCATTCTGACCTAATTCTCACATGCACTCTTTCTGATTTGCATAATCAGGATTCAGTGAGTAATGAATTAGTCTTACTCAATTATCGAAATCATTCATAATCTATTTCAATTTATAATTCATGCACAATCTCATATACTTGGATTTATGACAACATGCTTAAATTATATAAAACATCTAAAGAAAGACATGAAATGCATTAAATCATAACAATTGTGTAAAATATGTGTTAGTCATTCATATGCAATCATTGTTATATCCATAAGGATTTCATAATCAATCATTATAATCATAGGAATGTCACCTGCAATTATAGTCTCCTCTAATATCAACACTTCTCGATTTTCGTCACTATTCGATATTTATAATTCCTGAATCCGTCCGTCTGAATGACATAATTCTTGAATTCTATCGTTTTCTATTATCCCTACTTTCAAGTATTAATGTAATTGCCTGTCACTATAATCATGATATTCTTGTAATCATAATTCTTTAATAATCATTATTCATAGATAAATTATGAATCATATGAATAAGCAATAGTATATGAATACCTGCAACTCATAATTTTATTAAATGCTCATCATATAAATAAATGGTAAAAAACATAAACATTGATTGTGTCAGTTCAAGCTTGCATTCATGCTAACATGTGTAAGCATTCACAATATGAAGAAATTCTAAATGCAAAGAATGTTATTATTCTTATTTTCTCACAATTATTTCACTTGAATCGACGAAATGACCATAAGAAGAGTTTCTTCAAGCTCGCCTCTTAGAATATATCAATTGGAGCCATATTTTCTTAGAATTTCATGAAAATTTTAACTAATATCTTAATTTAACCCAAACATAAATTTCCAGCTAGTTGATGTATATTATTGAGAAACGAAGTAGACGCTTGGCGTCCCAAACTACAAGAACACGCCTTGGAATTGTGAGTATTAAAGTGAGAAGCTTGTGTATTGTGTTCGGTAATTATTGAAGAAGTGTAGAATTCTATAAATATGTTTTTTTTTCCTTCAGACACCAAATTGTTATGTGCCAAAAATGTGTTTGTTAATCGTTTAAGTGGTGTAGAATTCTACAAATAAGATTTTTTTCCCTTAGACACCAAATTGTTATGTGCCAAAATATTTACAATGATAAATAGTGCTTTATTTTTCAGCATTGTACGAAAATTCAGCACAACTAAAAAAATATAGCTAAAGGAGACTCCATAATTTTTATATGGAAAAACTTAAAAAGGGAAAAAATCATGGGGACTAGCCTAGTCAAAATAATTCACAATATGTTTGAAATTATAGAGGTATACCCTTCTCTCACAACAGAGGGAACATTGTTAAAATCATACAATGAAAACTACACTCATCTTTATATAATTCAAAAACATAGAAGGGCTAGGAAATTCAATAATATTCGTAGTTTAGATAGAACAGTTACAAAATGTGGTCGTCGATAACTAGTGCTTGATAGGGATGGGTGATGAAGATAGGTAATGGTTCACAGTGGCAGAAAACTATAGAGGCTAGTGGTAGATGGTAGCTGCCAACTAAAGAGGCTAACGGTCACTGGTTAGGTTTTCTCTCTAGAACAGGATCTAAAATTTCACTTCTCCTCTTATCCCTCTCCAAGTGAAAAGCGGAGGATTCTCCAACTACCTGATCGAATAGTTAATGGTTATCTCCCTTAATGATAAAATAATATTTAAGAATTCACATATCCCAAAATTCAGCGATCTTAAGCTTGTTGGATTTCTCTTGTCGAGACACTTAATTCAACTATAAATATGTCAAATCAAGAATTCATTTAACCATTCAATTGACAATCCATAAAATCAAATTGTGCTTCATTGGACATTTTGTTAACCAATTTTAAAATTATTGGGTTCATCTTAACGAGACATTTAGCTTGATTATAAATTTTATGAAATCGAAACTTTGATAATCTAAAATTTAAATAAGATTTATTATACAACAAGATTCATGCACATCAGTATAAAAACTGTCAAAGGTACCAAATTTGTGGGGGAATGCTACCCACTCCCAAAATCAAGTGCAAACCAAAAGCTTGTCAATGTTCATATCGCTTAAACTTGAAGCCATACCAATACCTTTCAGAAAATCAAATAACTAAGTGAGAAAACAAGATCACCATCGACATTAAAAAAAGAATTTCCAGCTCAGCAATACGTTCTGGACACATAATTTAAATCATCACAAAATAGTTCGAATTCTAAAACTTTATATAACAGCACATAACTTCAAACTGTTGACTATAAGCTGCCTTTGCAATTCAGTATATACTTTGTTTTTAAAAGCTTACAATTGAAATATTTCTTAAAAGAATGTTTGGATCCCTATATCTAACTCTTCTAGTTTTGCACCCTGCAATAATTTACAACAATATTTTAAATGCATAACTGCCCCCATCCACATACAGTTTATAATTACATTTATCTTATAATGAAAAAACATGTAATTTATACAATTGCAGCTTGTATCAGTATTGACGGCGCCCAAAACTTGCTTGCTCACTATTTTCTTGCTTTGTGCTTCACCCGCTCTAAGTTTTGAAGATGCATCTTCAATATTGCATGTTCATTTCGCATTGCTTCGAGTCTGGCTTCAACCATGCTCATTTCTTCTTTAAGATAGTAGAAACGTTTGTCCAACCATTCTAAGTTCTCTTTTCTATAATTTCCAAGTTCACCAATAGAGCTGCCTTGCGTAACAAGATGAACTTCAGGTACCCTACTTAACAGCACAATAATACTCACCTGCAAACAATATACAAAAAATCTGAAGATAATGAAATTTGAAAGTGATTTAAGAATTCACAAATAATCTAAATTATCCCAAACTGCAAGTTTCAACTACGACGGATAATAGACGAAGAATGTAAGCTCTTCTCAATGATAATAATAATAATTAAGGGCGTATACATACATACCACACAATTCTGATGTATTTACATATTTTAAAACTAAATATAGGTGTATGACACCGAAGTGTTATATAAATCCAAATATCAAACTTTGACTGTTAGATATGTAAATACATAAGAATTGTGGTATGTATGTAAATTTCCCTAATAATTATAGGAGCAAAGAAGCATCCCAATTTTAAATAGGAAGACAGAACAAAGTGTAAATATGCTTGTGTTTCACTGTCATCAGGAATTTCGACTAGAACATCAAACTATAGACAAAATATGTGAAATTATTCAGCAATTCTACCAGTAATGAGAAAAGGCACACTACCTGCATTAGGATCAGCACTGCAACTAATCCTATAACACCTAGTACAAGCGGTAGATAACTATCGGACTTGAGATAAGACATGGAGGCCACCCATGTTTCTTTTATAACAGATGATCCAAAATTGAGACTTGTAGAATGTTCTTGAACAGCATTTTCGATCAGTGGTTCAAAATTCTCGGGATGAGGCAGAGTTTGCTGCATATCTGCAGATGAAGCTTGAGGAAGCAGCTCCGATGTTTCCACCAGTTCTGAAATTTGTGATCTTACATCACTACCCTGAACTGTATATATATCTAAAGAACATTTAAAGAAAGAGATGCATCATCAAGTTAATAAGGAAAAAAAAACAAAATTTTTAGAAAGTTATTGTAGCAGCAGCAGACCTTCCTGCTTGCCAACTTTCTTCTTGAATAGTTCATGTGCCTGGACATAACTAAACAGTCAAGAAAGGCTAATTTACAGGGGGAAAGCAAAATAGAAAACAGATGGAGGAAAATGGTTGAAATAGGAGAAGACAATACATTCTGAATCCATATACCATAAACCTCACGGCACTCTTCTCTTGTTGACTGCTCTATTTTCCCTGCAAAAAGCAGTGCCCATTAGCATGTAAGCTTATGATACTGTTTACAAACAAGAAAAACGTTCTAGAAAGTGATACCGGATTTAACTCAAACAATAATAGGACTCAAATGACAATTAGAAAATAAATATTATTGCTGAATTCAAATAAGAAATTACAACTCACTCACATAAAACTGACATTGCAACAATTGACCACAAAACCCAAGCTAGGGCTAGATCCAGTGTTGAGGGTGGCGGTGGTGATCGGCGAAGGTTTGTGCCTCCTAAGAGGAAGCACAGGGTGGTTGGAGAGAGGATAGTGTGGCAGCAGCAAAACGGGAATGCGATGGGCTGTGGCAGCGATATAGGACTGTTAAACAGCGGTAGCACAGCAAGGCAACAAATTAGAGGGGTTGCAATAGCAATGCATGATGTCCGGAAAGTCTAGAGGAAGATGCTGGGATGGCTGCACAGCGGTAGACAGCCAAGCGAGGGGATTACGAGGTTGTGGCAGCAAAGCAGAAGCTTGAGAGGAGGTGGAGGGTGCTGGGATAGCTGGAATGGCTATGAAAGCAATAGGGAGAGAAGGCTGGAATCGCGGCGATAGCGGAGATGGAATGAATGCCGCGGCAGCAGCAACGGGGGATGCATGAAACCACCGGACAGCAAGAAAAAAACTCTCTGGGGTGGCGACAACGAGGACAGGCGGCTGAAATTGGAAAACTACAGTGAGAACAGAAAATTGGCGCTGTTTAGGGGCGGATGCAGTACTGGAGGGCAGTGGGGAGCGACGTGAGGTGAATGCAGAAAAGGATAGGGATGATAATCACTGCCTGGAGACCAAGATGCAACCGAAGCACCACCTGGGAATCCTAAGATACAATCTTTGAAGAGAAGAGATGCCAACAATTGTCCTAACACAAAACACACGAAAAATTGCCCTAAAATACGAAAACAACGTACCTATATACCTAAGGTGAAGAGGAGTGATCCCCATAGAGTGGGCAGCAACCCCATGCAGTCAGTAGGGCAGATTGGCCCCGATTCCTCTGGGTCAAATGGTCCAGACCGTGCACTAGCACAATCTTGCAAGAAGAGACGCCCTCGTGCAGTCTCACAGGATAGAAGGAGCTTCGAGCTCATCCGTCAAAGCTTTTGTTTCCTTGTAATACGAAGTAAATTTTGACACATTGAAGGAGGAAGAGCTGTTACAATCTCCCGATAAGTCAATCTTATAGGCGTTGCCATTCTAAAGCACATTCATTTCAACACACATCTATATTCATCTATCAACTTTTTACACAATTTGAGCTTACACTATATAAAAAAAGTATTCTCATGAATCAGGTATTGAGCCATTACATTTGTAAACAACTTCTCCCACTTTTTGATTGGGAGTGGAGTTTTTTATTGAAAGACAGTTGTAGGATCAGGCGTGGTGTGACGTGGTCCCCATGGATGCTTGTCACCTTTGTTGGGGAGACCATGATAATTTGACCGAAGAGCTCAACACGACGGATTCAAAAACACATTTATTTACTAAGGGCGAGAAGTGCATAGTCCACCCTTCGATGGAGCACGAGATCACATGACCCTTGCAAGCGAAACAACATTAGTGAGACCAATTTTGGTGACAACAACACTAGACACGGAATAAGTATGACAAATGACATTTTGGGATATCATGGTAGATACCTTACCACTGGCACCAACACGGTGCAGGGAAGTTCAGGTTACACCCACTTAAGATCAAGTTAAGCCACATTACTTTGAGAGTATTCAACAACAGAGGGGAGTAAAAGTCTCCCAGAAGATTGGATCGAGGTGGATGTTTGCTCATAAATTCGCAAAGATCCTCAGATGCCCTAGGAGACAGTGCAGTCTCCAGTGGGATCCAGGTATTTTGCGAACCACGATTGTAACGCCTTCAACCCCGGGGGATTACAACAACTTTGCCACAGTCAACATGCAGCCAAAAGCTTCGATGAATGAAGTCGAAGCTTCCCCAACCCCGGGAGATTGATGTGGGGAGTGATTGGAGATGAACAAGGCCAGTTCAGCGAGAGGGATGTTCTGATCCAACAGGGAAGCTGGATTGGCTAGGGCTTCTTAGGGCAAGGGTTGCCGCCCCCCTCCTCCCTAGTCATTATAAATATGTTTGCTTACTATCTTAGGGGGAATTTTTCGTCTTCCAAATTTCAAATTTCTGTCCAAGCCAGCCGTTTTCCCTTCTAGGGATGTATCTGAAGGTAAGGAGGTTCTCCGACTGTAACTTGCCTGAGTTGGTGATCTTCTCCTGAGGTTTGAGAGCTGCTTTGACTGTAACTCGATCTCGTGGGGATGTTTATCCTACCCAACTCTCCTCCGCAATCCACCTTCCCCTGCCGCCAACCCTATTCTCCACTGCTGTTGTTGTCGCCCTTCAACACTCCCCTTATAGCTGTTGTCGTCCACCTCCCAACCCCGGGTGACTGATGTGGGGAGTGATTGGGGACGAACAAGGCCGGTTCAACAAGAGGGATTTTCTGGTCCAACAGGGAGGCTGGATCGGCTAGGGCTTCCTAGGGCAGGGGTTGCCGCCCCTCTCCACCCTAGTTATTATAAATATGTTTGTTTGCTATTTTAGGGGTAATTTTTCATCTTCCAGATTTCAAATTTCTGTCCAAGCCCACCGTCAGAGTCGTTTTCCCTTCTGGTGATGTATCCGAAGGTAAGGAGGTTCTCCGGTTGTAACTTGCCTGAGTTGGTGATCTTCTCCCAAGATTTGAGAGGTGCTTTTGACTATAACTTGATCTCCTGGGATGTTTATCCTACCCAACTCTCCTCCGCAATCCACCTTCCCCTGCCGCCAACCCTATGTTGCCACCCTTCAACACTCCCCTTATAGCTGTTGTCGTCCACCTCCTGCTTCCACCTACACTTCCATATAGCTGCTCACCCTCTTCCTTTTCTCCCGGCCAATCCAGTCGCTGGCCACCCCCCTTCCCGAATCTCCAACCACCCTCCCAACCACAACCATCCCAGCAGCCACTTCACCCACCTTTAGCCTCCATATTCTGTCAGCCTGCTTGCTGCCCCCCATATTGAGGAACGCATCTGGCAAAACACGATTAGACCTGACTAGGGCAACCCGATGACCTCAACAAAGATGAGAAGCAGAGACAATATTCTTCGAATTCGAGAAGATGATTTTGGCTGAGAAATAAGTGCCTAATGTTTATGGGGTTGCCGAATTTAAGAAATATAATAATCTTATTCCCACTACCCTAATGATAGAAATTGAATAACATGAATAACAAGAGAAAATTTCATTCCTTGAATCATGAAGTATTTCTTCATGGCCAATTAAAATTAGAATGAATTAATAAATTATTGGACAGCATAGTATATATCAGAATTCCTTATTTTGAAAATTGAATAGTTAAATAATTACAAAATTAAACAGTTATAAGGAAACTTCTAGCTCATGTTTGCAAAAAGCCAACTAATGATGACAATAAATCAGTCCCTTGATGTGGTTTAACGAACAAATGTTAATTTAAAATTAATTCTATATCTCTTACAGGCTATCTAGGTTTAATTTCAGAAGAAGGATTTAATTATTTGTGCAGCGCATACATCAGTCATATTCAGTATAAAAAACACAGCTTTCCAGCATGAACATAGATTTTCCTGACAGCAAGCAGCCATTCATGGAATTTAAAAAATAAAAAATCAAGATGAAATGGGCACCAATTTTTTTAGACTAATTGTTTCCATGAACCATCTAAAAAACGAATAATGATGGGATGCAGCGAGAGCAAAACGATCAAGTTTAAAATTATGTCACATATCAAAATGGACCAGTTGAAAACCCCGTTTGGGGCAGCTTGATTGGGTAAACTGCGTTTTGACAGCTTTTTCAAAAAACTGCATTTTCAAACCGCTAAAATCAACATTTTCACACCGTTCCTGGCTAGGTGCGGTGACATCTTTCTAGCTGCAGTCTGACTTTTCAAAAAAAAAAAAAATGTAATAGCAACAACAGCTTTTTGAGCAGCAGCTTATTTTTTAGTAGTTTATCAACAACTTATTAATAAGTTGCAGCTGCCCCAATGGAGAGGATTGCTGAAGCAAAGCATTCAACACCCTAATCATTGTCTGTAAAGTTATACCTCTAAATATTGTTTTCTTTGAAAAAGAAACTTTTGAATAAACACGAACTGTGCAACCATTTTCTTCATTGCCATTTTGCTGGACCTCCCATATGCCCTATGTGTTAAACAATAATAAAAAAAAAGGTATATAAATAACATGCAGGTTATGTAAAACAACTAATTTTCAGCCACAAACTATAAGATATATAGCAAGAAAATACTTAGCAAAGTACAGAATTCACATGTAAGGTACTAACAACATTGGAAACTTTTAAAAGTTAATTAGAGAAAGAACCTCAAGTTAATTCATACAATCAGAAAGATATGTAATCCAGTCCATTAAAACTCTGAAAATAAATGGAACTGATAGCAAAGTGCCAGAATGATATCAAATTGCAAAAGCAGCTATTGCAAACTAATCCACTCCATTTTGTAAAAGGTCTCTGTAGGTATTGATGTTGATGGCAATGTAAAATAATTTGAGCCGGCAGGTAATTGGAAGAGGTTGAGATAGTCTCTTTCTAGGAGGCGAACGGGGCCACAGGGAATCAATGGAAGACTAGAGGTGGTGAGCCAAATCCTTCTCATGGGCGATAAGACAAGTCCAAGTACACAAGGAATGATTGGCAATCACGCCAGACAGTGGTCAGAGCTCTAAAGTTTTCATATTCAAAATATATAGAATGAGAAACTATTTAAAAAATTTTGTACATACATTTCGGCTCTTGTTATCGAAGTCATCCAACTTTTACTACTAAACAAAAAATAATGTTTCCAAGCCCTCATGCGACAAGTCCAACAAACTTAATAGATCAAATTTTTAACAATGATATTGTTTTAGAAGGTGAACTTTGTGAAATAGAATGAGTTTCATCATAATCTTCAAAAGAAAGACGCTAGCGGATATTGGGGGTCAATTAACTAGCCACCTTCAATAATTAAACCAAATAAATAATTTTTATGTATTTGGCATCTTCATCAAGAAAAAACTTTGCTTTATTCTCATAGTTTATTGAGCTTTTCGGCAGGTAATTTTCTCTGATATTTCACACTAAGGGCGGAATGTCACCTCCATTTGAGATGGGACCTAATGAATGCTATTTTAAAGAGCTTGTTCCAATGAAAGTAAAATTTGTTAATCTTCAATGAAAATGAGTAGCAATAGGAAATTCGTCGAAGAGCATCTCATACTGAAAAAAAGAAGTCGCAAGTTTCATCCAAGGACCATTTTCTTCAACAAGTGAGCTCGCTAGCCAAGGATATTGGATGTCTACGTAAATGTGCTCACTTATCATGCACATTTTTCGATACCGGTCATCGATTGTCTAAATAGCAAGCTTGGACTAAGCATTGGCAATATTAAAATCAAGTGGGGCCTAAGTCACCACTAGAGCAAGTTAACCAGGTTAAGGTATGGCACAAGTTGATACTTGTGTGCGTCAAAGTTGCCCTCTACCTAAGAAACAACGAATCATATCATGCTTTGCTTATCATATTTCAAAACTTTTAGGACTGATTTAAAGGCAGAGAATAGGACTATTTTTTCAACATCGTAAGAATAATATAAATTCATAACTCAGGTGAATGACTTTAAGTATCACGTAAAATAAATCTAGAATAAGTAAAAATCGTTAATTAAAAGGAAGATTTACATATATACCACTGAATTCCTATGCATCTACGTATATAGCACCTAAACTTCAATTTTTACATGCATCCACGTTTTTAATGCATGAGAAGGTCCATTTCACGTTTTAAAAGTTACTTTTGATGTGATATGAACAATTTAGGTGGTTTAAACGTAAAAAACTAAAGTTTAGGTGTTAGATAAGAATTTAGTGGCATGTATTTGAATGCCCCTATTAAAACTTTATCATAACTGGATAAGTGTTTTGTAGAACTACCATTGAAGGAAAGCAAGTGCACTTGTAGGAAAAACAAGATAATGCGCTAGAATCACCAAACCTCCACAAGAAAGTAATCTGCATAAGGCACGTCTGCAATTTGCTGTAACGTCTCTATCACTAAATGGCTGGAACAGAAAATTTCGAAGAGCAATTGTTAAATGGCAAGTTCTCATTTCCAAATGAGAAACTTTCTAAAGGTATGGACTTATTAAACAAAGCAACAGGGAATGAAACATGCAAAAAACTTGCAGGAAAAAAAATAGAGAAATTAGTTTTCAATCTAAATACTGGACATGCACACCAATAAATATGTAAAAATTTAAAGAGAAAACAGAAATTCAACCTTGGTTAAATGATAGAAGAATCTAAAAACCTAAACAATTTTACATATTCATACGCAAGTCACATTATTTCAGAATTTATTTCATTACCTTCTACCTTACATCTGAGCCAAAAATGCAGATATATTTTCACAACAAGCTATGCAGAAATATACAGGAAATTAATTAAAACATTAATATTAAAAATGAAACAAAATGAATAATAATGTCTAAGTAAATTAATACATATGGAATACAAAATCAATGTTAGCTATCACAGGAGTATTTCCATGAGTGACATGTCATACCTTCATCTCATTGCCAAAAGAAACGCATAAGAATCGACCAAGACACTACGCGTACATGACAAAGCACAATAAATCCATGTAATTAAGTTAATGTGGAAAAATAATATTGATTTTTATCTCTGCATGGTATTTGGATGATATAACGCCAGTTGAATTTCATGGTCACCTTTATTTTCGAAGAGTTAATAAATCCATGTAATTAAGTTTGCTCTTAACTTCTTAAACATTTGGTAATAATTTGTTCACAATTTATAAGAATTTTGGCGAATATTTTCTAATTCACAAGAATATTGAGTCATGTAAAACAACAAAAAACGCATCAATAAAAGTTTGAATTTGGATGTAATTACCCTCTTCTTCATCCACTTTCATTTTTAATTTCTTCTTTATTATCTCCTCCAGTTCTTTCATGGTTTTCTTACTACCTATTATGCTATGATTTTAAATCGTTGTAATTTCTAGATTATTAGGGATCTATTTTCATGCAGTCATAGGATTCAAAAGATCTTCCTCAAGACCATCAAATAAGTCATGGTTTGGATGTTCAATTGTGTGATGAAACTCAGGTAAATAAATAGATTAAATTGCAATTTCTAAATTGATTGGACACTGAAATGATCGATTATTCTATTGTATGTGTTTAAACAATTTAAACATTCACTTTTTTGAGACTAACATGGAAGGTAAATAGCTGTAACAATAGATGAAGAGTCCGTTTGAGGCAGCTTATAAGTGCGGGCGTCATTTTGAAAACGCCACCGTACCGTTTGGTTCGCGCGTTTCCCCAACTTATCCGAAACTGCGTTTGAGTTTTTACACTAAATGCAGGCCGCAGGTCGACCCCTGCAGCCTGCCAGCGGCCCGCGTTTCAGGGTAAGCAGCTTATCCTGAAACACACAAGCTGCCCCAAACGGACCCGAAATCATATAATTGAATTTTGCTACTTCGTTCTCACTTTTAGTAAATGAGTTGATAGCAGTAGAAACTAACAATTTGCTTCCCTAATCAAATCAGCTTATTAAGATACTTAAATCATTACATAAATGTGGCAATTTTCTGCTAGTTGCATCTTCAATCTTCCATTGAATTTAGCTAGAATCAACATTCAATAAATGATTATTGCTGTCGGAATTTGGGAATTTTTGAGGACCTAGGTGTCCAAATTTTGACAATTTTTTGACAGATTTCAACGAGCTGATAAAAAGTAAGCACACATCTATAAAATTTTAGTTATAAATGATACTGAGATCTTTTGCAAATAACAAAATAAAACATCTTATGCAAGCAGAAATTTTTATTCTAAATCATATGCAACCGCAATAAGATTAAAAATAAAGATATATAAGTCAATTCATGATCAAATGAAGTGATAATTTTATTAACTGACCAGAGTTAACTCAACGCACGACGACGAAAAATAAATATTATTAAGCACATAATGAAGGACACAATCAAAACTCAAAACAATAAAGAAAACAATAGAATGAAGACTAGCACGATCCGGTTACGGCCTGAGGAGGGTATCCACGGATGTCGGCGGTGAGAGGGGTGCGGCCTGTGACTGTAGACTGAGGGAGCAGCAAGTGAGGGTGGCTGCTGGAAGGTGGAGGGCGGCAAGAGCTGTGGTGTCGATGGGGCAGGAGGTGCACGTGGTTGCCTGAGACCCGAAGGAAAGCTGCAGGTGCCGTTGGTTCGACATAAAGGAGGTCGGAGGGGCAGCAGCGCGGGTGGCTGCCCGGAAGTTCTGTAGATGGTCGGTGGCCTACTGGAGATGTTGGGAAAAGTTGGCGTCCTGCTGGGACGTGCAGGAGGAGCCGGCAGGCAGTAGGGAGGCGTCGGAGATGGTAGGCAGCAATCGAACAAGTTCTGAAAGTGGTTGATGGGCTGCTGGAAGATGCAGTAGAGGTCGATGGACTATTTGGAGATGCAGGGAGGAGGCTGCGGTCAGCTGTGAGTGTCGGAAGGGAGGCTGAGGCTTGCTGGAGGTGCGGGTGGGGGCCTACAGCCGGCTTGAAGCATTGGATGGTGGTTGCGGCAATCTGGAAGCGCAGGATGGTGCTTGCGGCCACCTGGAAGGGCAAAATGAAGACTGCAGCAATCTGGATGCGCGGGATGGAGACTGCAGCAATGTGGAAGCGTGGGATGGAGGCTGCGGCAACTTGGAAGCGCAAGATGGTGGGTGCGACAATCTAGAAGCATACAATGGAGGATGCGGCAATCAAGAAGCATAGAATGTAGGCTACGGCAGTTTGGAAGCCTAGGATGGAACCGATGGTAGCAAGGAAGCGGAGGAACAACATAGATAGACACCACATCGAACGATTTACAGCCGGAGCACCGTCTTGTTCTTGAAAGGGGAAAATGCCGGTGGGCTCTTAGCTCAGAAAACAAATCAACAAACCCTCAGCTAAGCAAACACACAGATATATATATATATATATATAACCAAATGTGGTATTATGATCTATATATATAAGAGATTAGTAAGTAGAATAAGTAAGGATCAAAATAAGAAAGAAAATAGAGAAGGAAGGACATAGAATAAACAAGAGATAGAAAAGGGGAGTAATAGCAAAGGAAAGGGCATTAAGAAGGAAACAGAAAAGGAAAAGGGAGAGTATGGTGGGTGGCAGGTCTTTCCCTTCCTGGGGGCCAGCCTGTCCAGTAGGGCTGGACCGGACTCTTTTAGGGGTCGATTCAGCCACCCCCTTCCCAAGGAAAAAAATATTGCGTAGTTAAGACGTACGCAGAGCTGCGTACGTCTGTAACCTGCAAACAAGTAACAAGGAGAATTTCGAGAGGTTATAATTGCATTATACCCCCTGTAACCTCCCTGTAACCTACCTGTATATCAAAACAGAAGCGCAGAACTTACTAGAAGGTACAGGGAGGTTACATGGGGTATAATGTGGTTATAACCTCCTAAAATCCTCCCTATAACCTAATTGCAGTTTACAGACGTACGCAGCTCTGCGTACGTCTTATGTCGCAAATTTTTTCCCCTTCCCAGTCCAACATCACTAACAAACTAATCTAGTGCTAGAATATAATTCAGCCCACAACAAGATGTTTCAAAGTAACATATATGCTCTGGTACCAATCTAATGTAGAATGAGTTGGGATAATTTTTTTTAAAAAGAATAATTTCACCTATTATTCATGCCAAAACCCGCTAAATTATGACTATATATTATGTTTGATTAACACGGAGAGATTATAAGTCAACAAAGGTGATATTTCTAGTATTTTTATAAAATAGAAAACAAGAGTGATAAATTCGATAAAATGATATAGCAAAGAAGGAAGATCAAAACACTATAAAAAAGAAATTCCTAAAATGAAAACTAGATTAACCATTACCATGACTAATGATAATAAAAATTAATTCCACAAGCAATAGTACTTCATTGTGGCGGTGATATTCTTTCCTTAATAGTCCATCTCCATGAGTCGTATCAATCACACTAAGAGATCCTTTAATTGGTTGAAAGAGAACAAAAAGAGTAGAAAACTCGAGAAGAAATTCAACTAAGTGTTTAACCTTATGAGATGCTCCTTATTTATAGGAATAACAGAAAAGGCCCAAAATATACAAATCCACTTCCAAGCATGGGTACTTATAGGAAACACTTATCAGTCCAAGGGCCCAAAATTAAGTAACTACCCCTAATATAAAATAAAGAATAAAACCTATCTTACAATGCAAGGAAAGACTATCTATCATAAAACCCTGTCACCGACCCAAATGCATGAAATTAACACAACACCACCTTACCTAAACTTCATAAATAGGTCTGATGAGTACAAAATAGTTAATACCATGTTACATGAATTTTAAATCATTAAGTATTAAATTATCTCAATAATGCATCCTACATCATGTTATCTCTTTATCTTGCGCCTACTTTTTATTATTTTCTTTCTATTAATGAGAATAAGTCTCCACTATTTTTCCAATAAAAAAAGTGTAACAAATACTATTAACATTCAAAAATAACAAGTAGAGATTCAAACCAAACAGCTCTTGATGATTTTCCACACGACCAAATTAAAAGACATGTAGATCATCTAAAAAGCATGAATCATAAGCACAGAGCTTTGATCGAATCAGTTATGATGTTAGCTTTGGCGTAGAGCAAAAAGCATAAATATAACCGCATTGTTAATTCCCTACATCACAAACTAAACTCTATTTTCCCATTATGACAGATACTTGGTTTGTTCCTGTTAAGCTTCCCACGGGCCTTAGCTAGCCTTGATACAGGCAAATAGCAAGGATAACTCATTTTATAAAATATGACGGTTATAAGGGGCATTAAAATATCCTGCTTTTATGTTGCTTATTCTCATATGATTTATCTTCACCATGACAATCACAATATTAATCATTTTCTAAAAATACTTGCATGACAGAAATTATCGCAGTTAAGATGAATATATCGATTTCAAAAAAATCACTGAACTATATCACAAATCACTCCTTCCTCTCTTTTGGTA